TGCGAGAAATGGTCCTCATCTTGAGGAAAAAAAAGAGAGTGGAGATAAAGAGGAGTATGATGATTTTTGTGCACAAAGTTGCAGAAGATATTTGATCAAACAGAGAACATTCGCTTAAAAATGTCCTCTTAGCCTTAGAATTTATTCCTTCAAACAAATTTAGGCAACTTGCCCGGATCGATGCCAGCCTCACTGCACAAATGCATGTGTTATGGTAAGAAAAATGTTCAAACTTGAACTAGTTACTCACATGGTCCTAAACGAATCCAAATTGTATAGGCGCCACCGCCACCGCCTCCACCACCACCGCCACCAATGCCGCAATGTTCTTCACAATGTATGCCACGATGTGAACCTTCATGTATGAGCGCTCCGGCGCCAATGGTAAATTCCTGCAAATTTTCCATTTGAAAAAATCGGGTTATTTTTATACACGAAAGTGTGTAAATTTTACTTCAAGTTACGAGAAATTTCTAGCAATTGCTATGATTTCAGCCCCTATGCGAAGCTCGCTGTATGCCAACATGTTCTCCACAATGTGTGCAAACATACAGGGTGAGGCAATACAACTTCTTTACCGTAGTCATACAGTAACCGACATCTGCATACAGGTGCAAACAACTTGTGTTCAAGCATGTATGCCTATGTGTCAGCCATCCTGTGTTCAAGCTATGGAGGTTTGTAGAATAGATTGAGCCGTGGAGAACTACTTTCAGAATTTTTTGTTTCAAACGATAGAAACATGATCAAAAATTGGAAAACCGTTCTAGATTTGATATTCTGAACATATGGAAGAAACGAGGCTATCTTACTCTCGTCGGCGTTGAAGATGAAATATCAAATAAAAATAACAATTGCACATCACCAAAAGTATATAATACCTGACTTACAAGAATTAAGTGGAAAACGAATGAGAGCAAAAATGGGCATAAGAGGTAGCAACATCTTCGGGTTTGCTCATAGATATAGCTAAAATACAGTTGTATATTCCAAGTTTCTATTCAGCACAGAGAATTTACTTTTTCGAAACAGTTGTATTTTTCTATTCGTTAAAGTAAATGGTGTGATTTCAGATGCGACCTATGCCAACATGTATGGAAGCGTGTATGCCATCTTGTCAGCCTTCTTGCGTTCAGGCTGTGGCATGTAGCTCTTGCACCAGCAACTGCCCTTCCGTATGCGCGTAAGTTTTAATTTTTTTCAATAAATTCCTCCTTTGGATCATTGCAAAAAATCACTGACTTAGCTCACACCTT